GTGAGTTTATACATAGATTACATTTTTATATTGTGTATATGAATTATATCGAGAGATAGCGAAGACTACGAAGACATAACGTGTACATACTACATATAGTGTTTGTGTAACATCGTAGATGGAAGATTTTGATACCACGACTGGATTTAAGGGATAAACGACTGGATTTACTTTTTTTTTCAACGACAGGAGCGAGAACTAGGCCTACATGTATCGTGCGGTACGTATTACGTTTTTAAAAATATGACAATAATGGTACATCACTACGTACATTCATTCTCGATCTTGTGTATATGCCCATATATAAAACGCTGTGGCTATATGCCCGGCAGCCGGCACCCTAACCCTAACTCTAACCCTAACCCTAACCCTAACCCACATAGCCCCCATAGCTTACATAGCCACATAGCACATAGTAGGAAGTGGCTATATGCCCGGCAGCCGCATATGCAGGTATGGCATGTTTTTTGTTTCATAATTCGATTTTTGTTTTATGGTTGATTTTATCACATATATAACATTCGATTTATCACATTTAACATTCGATTTTTCACATATAACATTCGATTTATCCCATATAACATTCGATTTAGCACATATAACATTTGATTTATTGCATATAACGTTTGATTTATCGTATTTAATAATTGATTATTTAATCATATGTTATATGCAATAAATCGACAATAATTCCTTGTTTTAAATGTTTACATTATTTGATTTTATAGCAGAAAAGAGAATCAAACTATTCGATCCTGGCATCAAATCATTCGATTTTGGAATAGAATTATTCGATTCTGAAATCGAATCATTCGATCTGCGAATCGAATGATTTGATTCCAGATTTGAATGGTTCGATTCGCAGATCGAATGATTCGATTCCAGAATCGAATGGTTCGATTCGCAGATCAAATCATTCGATTCCAAAATCGAATGATTCGATTCCAAAATCAAACAATTCGATTTTGGAATCGAATCATTTGATCTGCGAATCGAACCATTCGATCCTGAAATTTATACCTGACCACGTTTCCTACTCTAGTGCCATCTATCAACAACTTGAGCAAAACGGCACTAGTTCAACTTTGGAGCATTTTTACATTATGATAATTAATAAATTTCTATAAGTATTATAGCTCATAATAAGCAGGAGATATCAAATAATAATCGCAATAATTTATTATTAGAGTTTAGGAGATGATATAATGCTCCCAATTTTTATTATCACTTTACATGTAGGTTTTACTTCGGAGATTCCATGCATATTTAAAGAAGTCTTACATATACCACAATTTCTCCATTTTCTCTATTTTAGTTAAGTCCCATGAGGATGAGCATGAACTGGTTTTCTCTAACTGTGGATGGATTATAAGATCTCTCATCATTGCTATCTCTTTCACACGCTCTCCCCCTCTTCCTTTTTCTCATTCTACCACGGCCTCGCTCTCTTTCTCGATCTATCAATGTATCTTGCTTTCTATCTTTCTCTTTCTCTTGCTCTCTTTCTCTCTCTCTCTCCCTCTCTCTCTCTCTCTCTCTCTCTCTCTCTCTCTCTCTCTCTCTACCTCAGCCATGGGACAGTGCATCCCCTCCCTGTGAAAAGGTAACACGTTATTATGGCAATAACTCAGCCATGAGACAGTGCATCCCCTCCCTGTAAACAGGTAGCACTGTAACGAAGAGGTGACGTTACCCGTTTCAAAGTGGATTCAAAGTGGATTCAAACTCCAAAGTCCAAGCAGTTGTGTTTAGCAAATAGTATTATTGTTTCTCAAACAGCCGCACCCCCGTGCGTGCGCACAGAGGTAAGTACCCGCGTGACCCGCACACTCTCGTCCGTTTCTTCCCTTTTCTCAACCAAGAACTCTCCATTTATACTCGGGATGCACAATATAATGCAGATGCAATCGCTCACGCTACACCGGCAGGGAAGATATGAGGGCGGTAGACGAAGAAGGAGTCAAGAAAGGCAGTGGGGCAAGAAAGGCAGTGGGGAAACGGAAGGGGATGAAGTTAGTTTTGCACCCTGCAGGCTAGGTCGCTCTTCTAATTATAAACACAGGTCTACATATAAAAATTTATTTCAGAAATCTATGTTGAGATACCCCCTAACCATAATAAATGCATATTCATCAGAATATATAGCTCCTGTGGTGAGATATTGCGCATGCGATAACACTCTAACGTAGCCAGATTGTGTACTGACTGGTAGAGCCTATATGCAGCGGGGACCTTATATGCAAGGTCTTCGTCCTATTTCTTAAGTGAGGTCTACGGATGGTATGTCATCATATAAATCTATGCTAGAATAGCATAATATTATAAACATAAGCAAACTGCATAATATTATATTAGAAAACATAGTAAAATTCGGCGACCGCCTGCGTATTTGCGAATTGCAGAGCGCCATCTTTTTCGTACGGCCGACGGCGATATGAATGTGCAGCGGGCACCTTACATGCACATCCTTCTTCCTATTTATTAAAGCCTCGTCTACACGACGAAACTTAACTCGAGTTAAGCGTCTTTACGGGGCCTTAACTCGTGTAAAGGTAACTCGAGTTAGCGTTAACTTGAGTTAGCTTAACCTCGCCAGTCGATCGAGGTTAAGCTAACTCGAGTTTCCCCGTATAGACGCTTAACTCGAGTTAGCGAATAGTGCTACGTGCACATGCACGCACGCACGCATGCATGCACGCATGTGTACGTGCATATGCAGGTACGCACGCGCGCACGTTTACATCCAAACGCACGCACGCACGCACGCGCGCATGCACACACGTGTACCTGCACACGCACGCACGTATATGCGCATACGCACGCTCGCACGCACGTGTACGTACACACGCACGCACTCACGTGTACCTGCACACACACGCACGCACGCACGCACATGTACGTGAACACGCACGCACTCACACAAGCACGCAGGCTCGCACGTGTACGTTCACACGCACTCACGCACGCACGCACGCACGCACGCACGCACGCACGCACGCACGTATACGTGCACACGCACACACGCACGCACACACGCACGCATGCACGCACGTTTACATACACACGCACGCACGCATGCATGCACGCACGCACGGACGCACGTCTACGTGCACATGCATGCACACACGCGTACCTGTACACACACGCACGTACGCACCAACGCACTCATGCACACACGTGTACCTGCACACGCACGCACGCACACACACACGCTATCGGGTTAACGCTTAACTCGAGTTAGCTTAACTCGAGTTAAATTTCGTCGTGTAGACTAGGCTTAAGAATTGTCTACTGATTCAATGTTTTCATATATATCTATGCTAGAATCCCTCTTCATTTTAAATGCACACTTTTTGCAAAATATTCTTCGTCTCAAGAGATATTGCGCATGCGCGAGCGCCATTTAATGCGTACAGTAGGCCTACGAATTGGAGAACAAAACTGAATAATATAGCTTTGATTGAGATTAGAGGGGTGGGATGCTAAGAAAAGACATACCACATTCCCAATAAAATGCTCAACGTCGACCCTACGTAATTTCCTTTAGGTGACAGGTCGCCGACGTTGCCGCGCTGTATCCCTGTGCATAGTATAGCAAGGGTCCTTCCACAGAGCAGTGTCACCCCATTGATGTAGCAAGGTTGCAATTTGCGATGCGCATCTTGTGTAGGCATCCCAGACTCCTGATTAAATGCTTAACGGTGGCCTTACATCATTTCCGTTGGACGACAGGTCGGCGACGTGTCCGCGTCCTATCCCTGCATTGGTATAAAAAGGGAGTTTCGGCAGAACAGTGCCACCATATTGAAGTTGCGAGTGTGCATTCTTCAATGCGCACCTTCTCTAGGCATGCTTAACGTTAGCCCTAAAGTCATTTCAAAATTCACAAAGTTCAAAATTAATGTTTAAAATTAAAAAGTTCATTCCTAAAGCCCTACGTAAGTAATTTCCTTTGGGCGACAGGTCGCCGACGTGTCCGCGCCTTATCTCTGTTCATTAGTACAGGAGTGGATATTCCGCAGATTTATACAATGTAACAATATCTGACAATATCCGTAAACAATGTAACATTATCCGATATTATATATCTTTTATATAGTCTGTATTTTATATCTTTTATATCTTTTTTATAGTCTGTTTGACCTATGGTTTGACAAAACATTATTTATTACATACAATAACACCGTGTACGGCGGGCTTTAGCACAGATATATATATATATATATTATATATATATATATATATATATATATATATATATATATATAATATATATAGTATCAAAAGATTTTCGTGTATATACTTATACATTGGAATAACGCATGCTCTCAGCGATTACGGTAAAATTAGACACAAATATAGGTAATTTCCCAAGTACTAGAAACGCGAGGAAATAGTTGAATAACCACTACACGTATAAATAGAAGATGGCACGCCGATCCACGGGACAATCAATCAAATACGATCACGGTTATAACAAATTACTCTGACGCAATGCTCTTACACAATCGATACGTCTTAATCGTTATCCAGCGAATATTTATTTTTTATTATTTTTGTATTTATTACGATACTTATTTTTACCAAAGAAATATTTTGGGTTTCTCCTCGGATCCAAAAGGCTCATAAACAATCGTTTTGTGCGAGTGAGAATACGTTAATTATTAAGAATTAACAATAAGAAATTATTTTGATTCGTAAATCAACTCCCGATGTTGAGGTCTACACAGTCGTATGCTCAAGAATCGCCATCGCAGGTAAAATTGTAATCAACAATTGGGATCGATTTGGCGGCCGCCATTTCTTAATAAAATAAACAATTAATAGGAATAATAATAACAACAATAATAATAATAATAATAATAATAATGATAATAACAATAAAAGTATTTTTTAATATCATAATAAATAATGAATAATATATATATATATATAATATATTATATATATATAATATAATAAAGAATTATTTTTTAAATTAATTAAGTTTCTCGACTCACCGACGGATATGAAGGGTCAACGCTCATGCTGGATTGCCACGTGTACTCACTTCCGGGCTGTACCGGACACGTCACGCCCGAGCCCCGACACGCGTCCGGTTGCGGAAACGGAAATGGAACCTTGACGCCCGCTATCACACCGTAGACGACGATTGTTAGCTTACTGCTGGCACCCTCTGTCAAAAAATTCGAAACAAACATATAAGACATTGTCAATGTGCTTCGCAGAAGTATATTCCGACCGCAAACTCTGAAGCCATACTGACGCTGAGCCATGAACTGGTGTAATTCCAAATCCTAAACTCTAAAGCCAACGCATTTTTCCCGATGTTTCTCTGAGGCAGACGCGCTATTTATATTTTGGTTGACAACAACGTGCTCGCGGTTTTTCGTGTACATTTATGCTATAGATTCCATTAGAACAATAATTTTAACGCAAAATATTTGTGATCCAACTATTATATTAAAGATATAACGAAACCGAAGCATCTAAGATCTGCAAGGAATTTTCTCCTGCCATGTAGGCTGTCACTACCTTAAAACTACGCGCTATAAATTCCTATATTACCGTTGTAATATCATACCGCGAAGGACGAATGTGTGAGCAATTTGCTCTACGAAGGCTCGCTGAAGAATCAATCGGTATCGCTAAATGTCCTAGTCTATCAAACGCCATAGATATATTTATATGAATGTTATATATAATAAAATAAATATTATTCAAAACTATCACTTCTATTCAAAACGGTCAGTCACTCGGTGGTCATTTACCGTACTATTCCTATTTGTATTATTATTATTATTATTATTATTATTATTTTCGTCATTATCATTATTTTTATTATTATTCGTATATGTATTTATATATATTATATACGTTTATTATTACTATTCGTATATCTTTGATATGAGCTACAAACAATTTTGTGCGCTATACTATGCAGTATGGCGCGTGAGCGATAAGCAGGTAAGAAGAAACTGAGAGAGCTAGCAAGGGAGAGAGAAAGAGAGAGAGAGAGAGAGAGAGAGAGAGAGAGAGAGAGAGAGAGAGAGAGAGAGAGAGAGAGAGAGAGAGAGAGAGAGAGAGAGAGAGAGAGAGAGAGAG